AACCCTAAGGGTCCATGTACCCAAATGGGTAGTTGTCAAAATTAGGGTCCCTTTTGGGGTACCCTAAATAATAGGTGCCGTATTATAATAAGGACCCAAAAAGGGACCATAATTTTGACAACCACCCAAATAGTAAATACATTGGCCCTAAAGTACCTTTATAGGGACTACATTAAGGCCAAAGTATATGCTATTTGGGTACATGGACCTTTAGGGTAAACGCTGTGAGGACGTAGGGTTTGGGGATTCATGGCTCCAGGAGGCGGAAGTAAGATATCTTTGCGGGCTTTGGGGTTTAGGGTTTAGGGTTTAGTTTAGGGTTTAGGGTTTACGGTTCTAGAACTTTTTGGGAGCAAGGCTTCAGGATCGTGGGGAGCAGGTTTTGAGTTTGGCAGATTTCCGAAGGCTTACCCTTAGGGTTTGGTGCTTTAGGGGTTTAGGGTTTAGGGTTTAGGGCTTACCCTCAAAAGACTCAGATGTTGGGCCCAAAGCCCCTATTATGTAAGGCTTTTGGGCGATTTTGGTGCTAAGGGCTAGAATCGAACGTATGAAGGCTTTTTGGGAATCTGTGGGTTGTAGCGGGAAACTGCAAGGTCTTTCAACAGCATCTTCTACGGGCCGTATAGTGGTTATTTAAGAGTCGAATACAGGTTAAGGTTTAGGGTTTAGGGTTTAGGGTTTGGAGTTTAGCGTGTTGGGCTTTGGGCTTAAGGGCCTAGGGCTTACATGACAGGCTACCGGCTAGAAGTAAACGGTACTCGTACATGGGACGGGTAGAGTTTCTGCTCCGCTTCGGGGAATACCAAAGTTCAAACTTACCCTAGGGGTTGTATAGATATATAAACATATTTTTATATATGTATGTACACACACACATATATATATATATACATAGTTGTATATATATATACACACATATATAGAGATAGATCGTGTTTAGGGAGGGTTTAGGATTTCCAGGTTGTGTTCCTTCGGCCATTCGTGGCTGTCGCTCCGAAACCTCGGATGGTCGAGGCTCCTGCCTCCAACCAGCTATAGTCATGTGTACAGATAATATAGAGGCCTTAACGATTAGAATAGGCCTTCGGGCCTATTATACTATAATTAAAATAAGGATCCCCAAAAACCCTATTGAAATTATTAAGGCCCCTGCAGTAGTCAGGTTGACTTAGGGGCGGCTGAGTAGGTAACCTTTAATACCTTTTGGGGCTCATATCACCCTACTATACTTAAAGGGTTACCCTCTTTGGGGGGTTACGGTACTCTAAGTTGAACATTGCTACTACCGGCTACTACCCTCAGATTCTCAAGTTTTGCGAGATGGGATTTTCCTGAGCAATGGCTTCTTCTCATGTTTATGGTCGTTTAATAGTCAGCTGAAGGTTTTTGTATACGATCGATTTTGTGGCTCCAGGGTGGTTCGGCTGTTGGTAGCTTATGCCCTAAGTCATAACCGCCATAATCATTGCGCCGTCAATTTCCCCTGAGCCGCCACCCATCCCTGCACCCCCCAGAGCCCTACAACCCTAAAGCCCTGAAGCCCTAATCTAAACGCATAGTGACCCTCCTAAACCCTTAACCCTAAACCCTGAACCTAAACCCTAAACCCTAAACCCCGTAGTAACCCTAAAAGGAACAGCTCTCGGTCCCTGCACCCGAAACCGTCGGTTTAGGGTTTAGGGTTTAGGGTTTAGGGCTGGGTTGGTTTTGCCAAGTTCTTTTTCCAGGTGCGGCCCCAACACTCTCGTCGCTCGGTGTTCGATGGGTGCACCGTATATGAAAGACGAGGCTTATAGTGCTTGTGGTGCTTGGCGGGTTTAGTGGTTCTCGGTTTTGTGTCTAGTGATTTTTTAGCCTTCAAGGTGTTGGAAGCCCAGAACAGTACCTCAACATACATGGGGGAGATGCTAACCCGATAGGAGGGATAGTATAGAGGTCGGCGTAACTCATGATTGTAGCACCGTAGAGGTCCTGTATACTCATGACTACGACAAAGTACCCTGAAAACCTAGTCTTAATTTTTGAAGTCCCGACAGTAGGTTGTCTGCTTCGCAAGCTTGGTTGGTTCTCGAGCATCGGTTGAAGGATGGCAGGATCTACAAATAAAACGACAGAAACTCTGAAACAAACCCATCCATGTAATCGTAGGGTCTGTTTAGAGCCTTCAAAGTGTCTGGGCGCAGAGGAGGAGGCTCTGAATAGCAGTTTAGTGTTTTCGGTCAGGGCATGCCTGAACCCGAAAAGACCAAACTTGTTGTGGTTCCTTATTTGATTTAGGGTTTAGGGCATGTGATTTCATTTCTTCTTCTGAGGAAGGCTAGGCATGTTGCTGATAGAGATCTGGGGCTTTGTGGGGGGTAGGGTTTACACTTTCTAGAGTTTTGCGGGAGTGTTTTTCTGTAAGTGTCCAGTCAGGATGGTGTCTTCATGAAGAGCTATCTGCGCGACAAATATTAGTTCACACCTCATCAAACCTGTTAATTACAACCTGTACAACTCTTTTAAAGCCGTCGAAACGCTAGAGAATCCTTACAGTATTTTGGCCCTTATGAGAGTTTTGACAATCCTGGTGAGAACGACTCTTGCTATTGTTATCGCTTTCATTTTCGTTTGCTTCAGCACAGCACAAGGATTATGAGCGTATGCTTCGCCGACAATGTCTGTACTCCTCGCCTGCCCGTGCCGCAGGATGAGTACATTACACATCTTCGCTTAAAACACACATACATGTGTGCATGGTCTCGAACACACGTATAGGCACTTAGACAGATATCTGTTTGTTTTCGGGAAAACGCATTCGAACGAGAGACATGTGTGTCTTTTCGAAACGCACATGTGTCGCATGTCTGGACATGCAGCATTCCCAGCACGGAGCGTATGTGTTCGGATCTTGGCGCTTGGATTGCAACCGAGAACAAGAAGAAGGCCCACCAGAACATGATCCGCTTAGGATCGCACACCCACACTTGCTCCAGTTCATTGCGGATTGGAGCCGTGTACGGCGACTACTGGGCCGCCATCTTCCCACATGTGTCTGCGTGCTTTGCCAAGAGCTGTGGCGGGCCATGACGCGGTGCCGGTTTCGCTTATAAAGGCACCGATAAGAAGGGCCACCGGGTTGTGGCCTCGGAAAAGAAGCATCTTATTATCAACGGAGCCATCTGATGTGGTATCCAACCTTGCTTCGTCACCGAGCACATGGTTGTGACAACGCCGAGGCAAAACATGGCGGAGATGGAAATGATGGACCAAACTTGTTGCAATCGCGACGGAGAGGAGGCACAAAGTCTATTCGATCAACGGCCAGCAGAAGCATTGCAAAAAAAAACGAGATGGAAGTCACAGCGGACTGGGAGCGATAAACCGGCCTGAAAGCCAGCGCTTCTACCATTAAGGCGTTTTTCGTTGTGACCTGTCATGCCGTGCTCCGATATATTGTAGGTTGTTGGGGAATTGTGTTATTGTGTATGCAGGTACCGTGCGAATCGTATATTCTAGATTTAGAGATGAATGTCTCCCATCACTCGGCCAAATTCCAAGGTGCACATAGACATGTGTGACATGCGTGGGTCGCTTGAGGCAACAACAAGTCCATAGTTGTCAGCACAGTTGCGCACCAAAGCTTCCGGCCGCTTCTGCAGAGCATCTCCTGGACGCCTTCTCGTCGAAATGCAACGATAACCCAAAGGGTCCTAGGTACTGTTATGGGGAATACTTCCCCAAATCATAATAGTAATTCGTAATATAGAAACCTTACATTTCTACCATATAGGTACTTAGGACCCTTTGGGTAAGGAACTCTGCAACCTTGATGCTGTCGGGACCTTTACCGTTTTGGATGCACGTGCGGGGTTGTCGAGACCCCTCGTTGATAAACTTCCGCTTCCTCCGAAAAGCTCCAAGCAACATAGGGTCCGTAACAATTCCCTATACTGTTTTGGGGGGGCTCCTTATTATATGTATAGTATGGTATACTCCAAACCCTAAAACCTATATACCCTATACCCTAAACCCTAAACCCTATATACCCTAAACCCTAAACCCTATATACCCTAAACCCTAAACCCTATATTATTGAAGTTCGGAGGACGGTCTGCGGGTCAAACCCCCAATCTCTTGACGGCCTGTGACTCCTGCGACCAGCATTAGCCACGACCGTAATGCTGTTTAGGGGTTTAGGGTTTAGGGTTTAATGCTGCTCTACAAACTAGACTCCCTGAAGTTTCGAACCCAAAACTCTGTAAGGCTGAAAGACAATGATTTGCAATCTGAAGCTCAGAGTTGGGCAACCATCAAGGCCCTGAGTCGACCCGAAGGCGTTGATTGGTCCCTCCCCTGCTCAATCTCCTCCACAACATTCCCAGAAGGCTTCTGAACCCTAAACTTTAAACCCCAAGCCCCGAGCCCTAAACCTCTAAGCCAGTGCGTCCAGTCACGTTCAGACAGACCTGTGCAGTTTGGGGAGAGTAGCACATGTGCAGTTCTCTGAATTTGGGTTCCTTTTAGGTCCCCAAAATAGTACGGCACCCTGAAGAACAAGGACCCTAAAAGGGACCCTAAGTTAGAGAACTACCCACCTGCTGTGGACCAAGGTTTTGCCCTTGCAAAACGGTGTGGAGGGACTCTCGACCATCAAAGAGAGCTTTGGCTTCGAAATCAAACGGTTCGGGCTCTTCGGGTTCAGGGTTTATACGGTTTAGGCTGTAGGGCTTCGATGCATGTTAACTAAACCCTAAACCCTAAACCCTATTGAGGCCTCAGGGCATCCCAGAAATCGGTGGGTTTGAGGCACAGCAGGACTGGCCGGAATGATAGGCGGACGGATTTTGGTGTTGCAGAATTAAAGGTTGTTTTTTTGTTACGGGTGGGGGGTTCAGGTCTTAAGGTTGGGGGTCCGTGGTTTTAGCTTTCTGTTGCTTCAGGCTTGATTGTAATGTAAGCAGTCAGTTCTTGTTCGGGCAGATTCTTTCGTCAGTCCTCCTCGGGCGTTGGCGGGTTTAGCGGTTTCATTAGCTCAAACAGAACTGCCTGAAATTCTGCCCTCCTTCTCCGCTATTCGCACTCGGGCCTTCTCACTACTACCGCCAACCCTGGTTTTGGCCCAGTTACGGAATGCTCTCACAATACATTCATTCTGTGTGTATGCGCGCATAAGCATATATGCATATATATATATATATATATACATACACATGTACATATACATACCTATACTTGCATTTATACATACATACATACATACATACATACATACATACATACGTACATACATACATACATACATGCATACATACATAGGGGTACACATGCATATATCCATGTAAATACGCATGCATGTACATACATCCAGATACATATACATATACATATATATATATATACATACATATACATATACATATACATATACATATATGTAAACACACATATATGTGTATACATATATATATATACATGCACCTACATGTGCATACATTTACATACATAGACAAACATGCATACACATGTGCATACTTATACATACATACATGCATGCATGCTTGCACACACACGTACACATACGTACATACATACATACATACATACATACGTACATGCAAACAATTCATTAATTCATTCGTTCATTCAGTTATTAATAACTTCATTCATTCATTCATTCAGTCATTCATTCATTCATTCATTCATTGGTTCATGCACAGATACATGCATAATTACATACATGCATGCGCACATGCGTACATATGTACATACGTACCTACATACAAATAACAAAACAAAACCCAATCTAACATTACACAACATAGCATAACCTAGCATACCATAATAGCGCATTGCAAAATATGCTCAACATACATATACCGATCATATACATAGCATATATGCATACATACCATAACAGGTCATGGCATGTCACATCATGCCATGTTATGTCATGCCATGCTATAGTATTTCATGTCATGGTCATGTTGTTTTCAGTTCATATGATTACATCGCATTGAATTGCATTGCGGTGCATTGCGTTACATTACATTGCATGACATTGCATTGTATTACACATACATGCCATATCATATCGCTCCATGCCATACCATACCAAACCACATTATATATGCAGATACAGACATCTTATGCATGTACATATCTGTGTATGTGTGTGCCCAAGGCAGGTATGAACATGCACGCCCACACACACATATTCCCCACACAAGTTTACGTGCATGGCACATAGCACTGTCGATGGGTCGATGCCAGCTTCCGTGAGCCGAGGATCGTTTCCAGCTGGGGCCGCTGCAACGAAATTTAGGGTTTTGGGTTTGGTGTTCAGGGTTTAGGGTTTAGGGTATGATGTTCTGGGTTTTCGGCTTTTTTGGGTTTCTGTCAATGAACTTGATTCGGGACTTAAGTGAAGTCAAAGAACCATGGTGCATGGAGGCATACGATTTACAATAAACATAGACATATACATATATGCGTATGCAATACCATTTTGCTACCAAGTTCCTCAAAAGAACCCAGTGGTTCCCGGTTTCCTGCCGCAGGTTGAGCCAGGAAGCAGAGACACGTCGGGATGAGGTGTGGTTCATGGTCTCAAAGGGTATCAGGTACTGTTATGGGGAATACTTCCCCAAATCATAATAGTAATTCCTAATTTTTCAAACCTTACATTTTACCATATAGGTACTTAGGACCCTTTGGGGGTTTCGGACTTAGGAGATAGGGGCTTTCAATTTCAGGATATAGGGAGGTTCATGCAGGTAGTGTAGGCTGATAGGGCCGCTTCCTTGCTTGCATTGGGGAGGGTATCGGTCGGGATCTTCGATGGACGCAGGGGCTTGAGGGTTAGGGTCCCCTAAACCCTAAACCCTAAACCGTAAAAATCCAGCCCTTGGGTTTAGGCTTCCGATTTCAGGGTCCTGCACGTGCTCTGGCAGCAACCCCCAACCGAATCCCTAAAGCTTGCAATAAGCCTGGCGCTTCAGAGCGTGGCATCGTTGCTATAGCCCTACAAGAACCTATGGCACACCGTACAGAACCTGCATAAAACCCTATAGTTATAGGACCTGTTCTCTGCAGAGAAAGGTCGTGCGGTCGAGGTAGGTGTTGCGGGTGCATACCCTCAGGCGGGTTGGGGTGTGTGCGCTTGTGGTCCTGTCCATTCCAAATTAAAGGACAAACCGAACTGGATGAAGTTCCCCAAACTCTATAAACCCGAAAACCTAACTCCCCGAAGCCCGGTGGACGACTTCCGGGAATAATGCCTTGCAACCAGGGTGAACCACACATTTGGGATGTTGGCGTCAGGGACCCATGAGCAAACTATCTGAAGCAGTGTTTTTGAACCCTGTAAACGGCCTATGGCGCAGGTGCCCGTTTTCCAGACGCCTAGAAACCTACTAGGCCTCACAAACTAGAATAACTTTTTTAGATAACATATCTAAGATTGAAGGTCTAAGGCACTACCCATAGGCCCCATAGTAGTTCCTTTCTGGGGTTCATATTTAGAATCCTATAAGGTAATTCAAAAAAGGAACTACTATGCGGCCTATGGGTAATCATCATTATTATCCAGGGACCAGAAGAGGAGACCTTTAAACCCGTGCGCAGCACAACTCCTGGACCCTGAACCGCAATTCGTAAGGTTACGGTTGCGGTTTAGGTCTTTATTTTGTAAGGTTACGATTACGGTTTAGGGTTTTACAGGGTTAGGCTTAGGATGTGGGTTTTCTTGGAGTTGGGAAGAGGAGCTGAGCTGCTCTCAGCCAATCTAGCGTCAGCTGTGGTATGTGGGAGTTTCCGAAAATAAGGGGTACCTTATTTTTGGGTCCTTATAACAAGGATCCTACTATTTAGGGTTTAGGGTTTAGGGTTTAGGGTCTGAGTTGCAGTGAGATGTTCAGCGAAG